ATTTTGTGATTTTATTTGGAAATAAATAAATAAAAATCAAAACAAACAAAATATCCCCCTCCACTGCCCCAGAGCCAGGCACTCCCATATCCCCGTTCTAACCCAACTCCCCTCTGCTCCCGCAGAGAACCTACCTCTAACCCAATGCCTCCTCCCTTCCCCAGACCCAGGCACTCCCAGCTCCTCCCCCCCCATACCTAATGCCTGGGTCCCAGAGCCAGTGTCGCTGCCGCCACACATTTCTTCCTCAGGTGCTGGGGAGGCGTGAGCACAGCAGCCAGCTGTGAGCAGGCACTTGATGACTGTGCAGAGCAGCTCGGCCAGTGGGCAGCGGGCTGCATGTTATTCTTTTATAAAATGCAGTGGCAGGCCACAAAAAACTTTGATTGGGCTACATGCAGCCCGCCAGAAGCCTTTTTGACATGCCTGATGTAGATGGTATCATGAGCTTTTGTGAGCACAGCCCACTTCCACCCACAAAAGCTCATGATACCATCTACATAATGGGTGGGCAACAATTTTTGCCCAGGAGCCTGTTTGCGGGGACTAAACAGGAAGGGGTGGAGCTACCCAGACCATGATTGATCTGGGGTGGGGAAGCCCCTTTGTCTTCTTCCCACTAGGCACCCATGTCTCTGGTAGGGCAGGAGGAGGCTTCGTGCGCTCCCCCACCCCCAGGCCAATCAAGGCTTCAGGGTGGGGGAGCGCGGGAAGCCTCCTCCTGCCTTGTTAGGAGTATGTGGTGCTTGGAAGTGCCGTGTGCTGCTCACTGGGTGGGGGCAGAGCAGAGAAAGCTTCACGTATTCTCCCACCCCAAGCCCTAATTGGCCTGGGAGCGGGGGAGCAGCAGGGCCTCCCCAGACTGGATCCGACCCATGGAGGCCCTTTTGTCTACCTCTGATCTACATGTTTTGTTAGTCTTTAAAGTACTACTAGACTGTTTTGTTGTTTTTTAAGTTTTTCCTGTTACAGATTAACTCAGCTACCCCTCTGAAGCTTATAAAAAAGGTTCTATACTAAACCATTCCTTTTTGCCTCCCTGTTTTCTTTTTCCTTTGGTGAGTTGGGCAAGCACATTTTTTTTTTTTTACCAAAACTCCTATCAGACATGCACACACTAGCCGCTCTCCTTCAGCCGGTGCTGGATAATCAGAGCCTCAATTCTAAAGGCATTGGCATTACTGAAGTGATAGATCACCCCGAGTTTTGTTGCCAATTTTCCATCTCCTAGTCATAGCAGAGACTTGGGCTTAACGTGGCTTTCTCCACTAGAAGTCTTATACATGTTTGGATGTTGTGATTGTGAACACTTGGAGAGGCAGTCTGCTCAAGGCAAAGTTGGCCTTGAATCTTGATATCTATGGCTTCAGTTGAATGGCTTATGTGAAATTTGGAAGAGGAGCACAGAGAGAACTCTCTCCTTTACTTAAGGATAGAATCTCATGGCACCCTGAAGGAAAAAGTCCTCATGGCAAACAGAAAGCCATGCTTGCAGCAGGGTATCCTCAGCCTTAGCCTACTTACTGCTTCAAGTGCCTTCAAGAAAGCGAGGATGATTCTTGTGTTGTGTGTTAGTTTTATTTAAAAGTTTTTCAGAGCGTTATTTTAACAGGTAAATTAATCTCTAAAATTCATAACTCATGTAGTTTTTCGCTATGCAATAATGTGAAAAACAATTAGGTTAACTAGATAAGTAAATGGGCAGTTAGGCAGCATTACAGATTGCTTACAATACATTTATTAGGTATCTTGTTAGTATTTAAAGTGCTACATAAATTTTTTTCTTTTTGTTTTATCAAGGTCAGACTAATACGGCTACCTCTCTATTACAATACATTTGATAGGCTGACAATCTTTTTTACTTTTTATTCATTAAAGCAATGTATTACTCATTTGCTATAAAAGTGGTTTTAAATGCTTGAATGAAATATAGTGATGACATTCATATTTAGGTTGTATAACATTAATTTCTCGCATGTTTTATAAAACTTACATATTTAAGAATTTGACAATTTTTATGTAAAAGACATGAACCTAATGAGAATGGGATATGAACAAATTAAAGAGAAAAAATATTTAACAGAATGTAAACCACAAAACTTTATAATTTATATGTCTGTCGTTAGTAAAATAAGTAATTAATTAAACAATAAATATCCTAAGAGGTGGATTATTTACAGTGGTGTAGTGAGGGGGGGGAGTGGCCCTTGGGTGCCACACTAGTGAGGTGCCAGTATAGTCCCCTTACACTCCCCGTCATCCCTCTGCTCACCTGCTCCTCCTCTGCCCACTGCCACTGGCTGGAGCTATCTCCTCCATGTCTCTCTGCCCCCAGCCCGACCCCCTCCACCTCTGCCAGAGGGTTAGTGCATACGGGACCCAGCCCCAAACTGGAGGGAGTTGGGTAAGACACAGTACAAGTTCCTCCCACTCCTCCCAGGGTCGGGCTCAGCTGTGCGCCAGGTTCAGGGACCCACCATTTGGTGTGGGGTGGGGCACCAATTTTGCCTTCGCCCCCCAGGCGCATAACACCCTTGCTACGCCTCTGCCTACTGCTACTTGATTCTGGGATGAGGGAAGATGGTACCGTTCTACTCTGCACATCTTTATTGTCTTCAGGTGGTGGCTGATGAGATGTCAGAGATTTCTTAATCCTACAGTGCCCTCGCTAGCATCTGAAATCCAGAGAGCCAATCAAGCAGCAGTAACAGGAGAACAAGAAGGGTTCAAGTTCAGGCCCTGCTGCTTGAGGCTGCCAATTCCTCACAAGATACAATTTGAGAAATTAGAGGAAGGGAGAAGGTATCTGTCAGCTGGCCAACACTATTAAACAGAGATGAGAAGGAAAGAAGGTCACTCACCATAGAAAGTTAAGAGACTGGGCTGTTGGAAACGATTATTGCAGTTCCATGTAGGGGCCCTAAATCACCATGCCAGGCACTGTACATATAGACAGTCCTTTCCACAAGGAGCTTATAATGTAGTAATAAAACAAGAGACGAGAAATAGGAACATCAAACAGCCACGAGGTAACAGAGAGACAAAACAGGTCTGCCCAAAAAACCAATGGTATCAGACCACCAGCACCGTTATTTAGGCATCATAGCAGAGAGGTGTAGGGTTTTTTTTTTTTTTTTTTTTAAAGAAACCTGAAAGGAGAAAAATGAGGTTGCCTTGAATATGTTTATGGTGAGTTCCTCCCATGCTCGAGAAGTAGCGGAGGAAAAAATACTGAGTTTTGTTGACTACATGGTGAAACTAACTTTGCTAGATTCAAATGGCTTCATACAAAACTTTCAGTTTGATTTGGAGAGAGTGAGTGTGGGTGAACCTGAACTGCGAGCAACACTTTGGAGAGAGAAAGACACATGCTGAAACTCTTGCAAATTCCAAACAGTAGATTTTCACTCTGCTCCAGCAAAGAAAAGGCAGGATGTATGGATGACTAGAGACATTGCAAGAGTGGATTAATAGCCTCGGTGCAATGTGCTACCTTCATAATTATTTCCTCTTTATCCTATTCCCCCTGGGGCTTGACCACAATCTCCTGTTCTCCTGTCATCAGGATTCCAGTGACATTAAAACTAAGACACTGCTGTTCTCTCCAGGACTTCATGTTGATTGGAATATTAACAACAGTCAGGTGGCTAATGTAATTTTTTTTGTTTGTGAACTTGTTTCCCTTTTTTAGTTAACTTAAAACAGTGGTGGTGAAAACAACTGCAGGTAATAAATATTTTCTAGACAACCAAGGCCACACAGTAATAGACCAGTCTACTTAATTAGGAAGCTTCTGCCTAATGTTATTCAAAACCACACTCATATTTATTTTAAACAGATAAAATGCCAAACACACATAGTGGTAAGTCTACAATGTTTCAAGTTCTCAGACATATATTACAAAATAGAACAAATTGAGATTATTTCTTAAGACCTACCAGTAGCCAAATTATCATAAAGGTATAAGTATATAAGAAATATCCATGGCTCTGAGATTAGATTTATTTGACATGGTATAGTATATCTTGATTATGCTTTGTAATGTTTTAATAATAGATTTAAACAGCAAATGGATTTAGGGAACATTAACAAAAGGTGGATGAATGTACAATAAATATTAAAGCAGGACAGAAAACAATGCAGGCTTTTTAATTTTAGAAAAGTGACATTCCAATTTAAAAATCTGATAATATACTTTCCACTACCCACAAATATTAGTTAATATATAGTTTCAATCTATTTATTAAATGTTTACCAGACAGGTCATTTGATACAAATCACTTTCCTCCCCCTACCAACTTACCCCCATCCTGGCAATGCAGCTATGAGCTCAGAGACTACCAGATTCTCAGATAATATTAGTGTATCATAAATGTAAATACTGAGCTCCAAAGACTTTAATAGGTTTTTTTATATAAGAGACACAGTGTGCTGCATGCAGCATCTATAATGTTTAATTAAGGAGACAAGGATTTTCCAGCATGCCTTTGTAACACAAAGAGCATTCAGAATCAGCACCAGAGTATACATTTTCCAAATCACAACACCCACACATTTCCTTAGCTGAGCAGAAGTTTTCCTTCTATGGCTGCATACCTAAAATTAGCCTGAAGGTCAAATCTGAATAGAAATACCCTTGCCATTGGACGTGCTGAGAATGATTGGTATAGTGGGCTCAATTTTGTTGTTGAAAACCTTGATTTAATTTTTTGTTAAATAACAGTTGCTTTTACAATTACAAGAGTCCTGGGAAATGAAGAGCCCTCCTGAACAAAATCATCAGCCCATATCTACTTTCACGGTGGGGCTATTTTTGTAACCAGCTGCTCCAACTATTAAAACAAGATGGATATAGAAAAGAAGAGTTATAGGAGGTTTCAGGGTAGCTGGGCACCACGATGTAACAGGGTAGCTTTTTAAATGTATTTAAAAACGCTTATATTGAAGTTTGAACTTATTGAGAAATTCTGCATGTTAAGACACTTATTGTCAAGTTTCACGGTGGGGCTATTTTTGTAACCAGCTGCTCCAACTATTAAAACAAGATGGATATAGAAAAGAAGAGTTATAGGAGGTTTCAGGGTAGCTGGGCACCACGATGTAACAGGGTAGCTTTTTAAATGTATTTAAAAACGCTTATATTGAAGTTTGAACTTATTGAGAAATTCTGCATGTTAAGACACTTATTGTCAAGGATAAATTAAAAGTTCAGGACTAAACAGAATGGCTTAAGTTGCAGTGGTATTATGCAAGTATAATTGCATGCACAGCTATTCCCTTTACACTCTACAAAAAGCAAAAGCACTGTCTTACAAAAAGTGCATTTATCAGCCACAGTGTTTTATTGAGTGCTTTAATAATACAAGTGTACATCAACTGATCCACAGTCAAAAGTGGCAGGTCCCTAAGAAATTTACAAGCACTTTTTTTAAAGTAAATCAAAATACATATTGTTTTGTTCAACCCAATAGCCTTTTGTGTGGGAAACAGAAGGCTAGTGATAAACACAGTCTTAGTAATGCACAGTGATTCTTGATTTTAAGCTTTTGTACAAAACTTGTTCCCAGTAGCATGCACCCACCATTAAAGACTTCAGTACAAAAAAATAACCCTAAACACTACATTTAAGTAGAAACAAGATATAATTCTGAATTTATTTGTTTTCCCCAAGACCACATGAAAGGAAAAAAAACCACACATCAATACAAAGCTTTGTGACAAAGCGCTATACTATTACAGATCCAACATTCTTTGCACTGATAACCAAAATTCCCTGTCTACATTTGAGGGAAGCAACTTTCAAGTTAACAAAAATGAAAAACCAAACCAAACAAACAAAAACAAATAAAAATAAAACAGGAAGAAAGGAAGGAAAACCTTTTGTCACAAAATTGTTCAAAATTTAATAAAAAATAAGAACGAAGGGAAGGGAAGGGCTATTGATGCACTTAGTGAATGTGCTTGCACAGGTCCAGCATGTTCTATGGTAGATTCCTATGTAGCATATCTCTTGGTCCACTGTCTGGCCATTCTGTCATGTTCTGCTCTGTTAGTCATATACTGAGTGGCAATACTTCCAACCAGAGGGTCAGCTGAAAAGAAAACAAAACCATGAAATACTTGTCAGTCTTTGAAGGACTGTCTGCTACAGCTGGAGTCTAATGAAATGTTATTAAAATCAGCTCAATTAAGCTCTGATAGGCTTAATCTGAAGAACAATGTGCATTTATGTATGCCTTTCCATTTTAAAAGCAGAACTGCAAATAGGGAGAAATAATCAAGACGACATGGAGTGTTTTTAGCTGTGTGATTATCAATAAGTTGCTGGGCAGCCCATTTAAAAAAATTATACCTCATAGCACTTCAAATACTTGTTTCATTAGTATCTGAAGACAACAGTTACATAAAATATTTCACAATTCAGATCATTCTCATGACAAGAAGTTTATTTATGATATCCAGCTCCTTCCCATTTCTTCCAAACAATTATACTGAGCACCAATCCCATCTTCGTGTGGAAGGAAGTGTATGAAAGAGTTTATGGATTTTTTGAAATTTTAATAGCGTAAAAATAAGGAATTAGGGCAAAGCACACAGTTTCCATGGGAATTAAATACATTCCAGTGTCTTGGTACTGGTGTTTGTTTTATGTGGGCTTTTTGCACTTCTGGGAACTTGTCATATGGCCAAAAGCATGATCAGGTCTTCCTGTGGTACTTTCACACAACCCTTCACTTTTCCCCACCCCCAAAAAAAGAAATATGCAGAGAAGACCATATCTCACATAACACTGGCTTCATAAATGGCTCTGTGAACCATTCAACCAACCAGCCTCTGGGAAACTCCACAACCAAGTCCATACATACCTCTCAAGGAAAGACAGTACTTAACCAATGTTTCTCCCTTTCAGGAAATAACATTTTTTCAGTTTAAATCAGGTACAAATAGGGAAGCAGTGGATATAGCTCTAGGTTGAAGTGCAGAAGATTTGGATTTTATTCTTGACTCTACTATTGGCCTGCTGTGACTTGGGCAAGTCAGCTCACTTGCCTGTGTTACTGTGTTTCTACCCGATTTTTGTCTGTCTTTTTATTTAGATTGTAAACCATTTGGGGCAGGCCTAGGACAGTCTCTTCCTATGTTACTACAGTGCCTAGCACAACAGGACACAGGTCTTGGCTGGGACATCTAGGTAGTACAGTAATACAAATAGGGGGAAATATTCCCTCTCCCTTCCTTGCACATTTTAGCAGGGTCTGAGCACAATCTGGTTCTAAATTAGCTTTATTCAGGTGAATTAAAAGATAAAATATTTAACCCCATCCTTCATAATGACCATGTACTTTTTCTATACTTCCTTTTCACAGCACTGTAAGACTGATTCTCATTTTCCATAACTAAATATCCAGATTTATTTCCAACAGTAGCAATTTATTGATATAAGAAACTACTTTGTTTAGTGTGATATAATTCATCAGCTACAATACAGTTCATTTTAGAAATCAAGTGGGAGTGTGTCCAAACAATGAAAAGCAGAGGAACAAATTGTAAAAGTCATGTACATTTTTGGCATGATCGGAAAAATGCAAGAAATAGATTCAAAGGAAAAACAAAATAAATAATAACAAACTTAAACCACACTTTAAACACCTGAGAAACTGAGGAAAAAATCAGAAAAGAAATTTATTATTTCGCCTCCCACCCCAAAAAAAATCACGTAAAAGATCAAGCCAAAATACAGGCTTAAAAATAAACAGGCAGATATTGTGGTGACGCGTAGCTCTGTTATAATTAAGGTACCAAACACCTTACTGTTTATAACAGTGGTCCCCAACCTGTGGAGGTTGCCGGGCGCCAGGGGGCGTGGCCGTTTGCCCGCTGGGCGCCAGGGGGCAGGGCCCCCCATAGCCGCGCA